TGAAGCAAGCACCTAGACAATGGTACTTAAAGTTTGATAGTTTTATGTGTAGGATAGGTTACAAGAAGTGTGTCATGGATCAGTGTTATATACAAATTTTTGGTTCATCCTACATCATATTATTATTGTATGTTGATGACATGTTAGTTGCATGTTCTAACATGGATGAAATTAATAGATTGAAGGCATAATTGTCTGAAGAGTTTGAGATGAAGGATTTGGGTATTGCAAAATAGATTTTGGGCATAAATATCAATAAGAACAAATTTGAAGGTTCTCTAATATTATCTCAGGAGAAGTATTGGGAAAGTATTAAAGAAATTCAATATGCAAGATGACAAAATTGTAAATACACCTTTCAGAGTTCATTTTAATCTCACTCAAAAGGAGTCACCTAAGACAGATAAAGACAAGACAACAATGACTAAGGTTCCTTATGCATATGCAATGTAGCTTAATATATGCAATGGTATGCACTAGATTATACATTGCTCATGCATTGAGAGTTGTTAGTAGATTCATTCATGTCTAATCAAGGAAGGAAGCATTGGGAAGCTGTTAAGTGGTTATTACGCTACCTGGAAGGTATTTCTAAAACTGCATTATGTTTTAGAAGAAATGATATCATTTTGGAAGTATATTCCAATATAGATTTGGGAGGTTGTTTAGATACAAGGAAGAGTACTACAAAATTTTTCTTCACAGTAGGTGGCATAACAATTAGTTGGATGTCTCGACTTTAGAAAAGCGTTGCACTTATTGGAAGCTAGTAAAGAAATGATTTGATTGAAGAATTTTCTTGAGGAGTTAGGCGAGAAGCAGTGTGACAGTGTTTTTTATAGCGATAGTCAAAGTGTCATTAATCCTGCAAAGAGTCCTATTTTTCATTCAAGAACAAAGCACATCAAGTTGAGATATCACTTCATTAGAGAACTAATAAGTGATGGTACTTTGTTTTTGGAGAAGATCCTTGGGGTTCTTTGTGTTGTTATAACTTTGAGGTTTACTAGATTTACTTTAGAGTGTGCTTGATGTGATTAACCTCTAAGTGCGAGACTGTTAAATATGTGGAGTCTGAAGGGTTATTGGATCTGACCCATTTACTTATTCTTTTATTATAAATATTCATGTAATTGTAAATTTAATTAAGTGAATGAGAACTATCATCTAGTGCGGTCATGGACGTAGGTCATTTTGATTGAAACATGTAAATATCTTGCGTTCTTGTTATTTACGTTCGTCTTGTATTGCATTTGTGTTCCCAACCGTTAGCGGGCTAGATGAAACGGGGCAAAACGGGCTAGCAGACTAAAACTACCAACCCGCTCTACCATTTTTTGGGTCGGCTAGCCTAGCCTGTTTTGTCATCCCTATTCATTTATCAGTTAAAATGTTCCTAGGTTCATTAGTAAATTTTTTGTTAAGTTGTTTTAATCTATTAATATGACCTTTTATTAGCTAAAAAGAACTCTTGGAACTTAGTTTTTCAAAAGTTTCGTTTTAATTGATAAACATGATTTTTCATCAATTAAAATAATTCACTGGACTTAGTGAGATTTGTGTGAATGCTCTGTTTTAATCGGTTAAAACTAGTCTTATTAGTTAAAAATAATTACTGAAAGTAACATGTTTTTTTAGCCTTTATTGTAATAGATTAAATAATTTTTATATCAGTTGAAACAACTTAAATCAATTAGAATACAATTCTGATCAAGACGTTTTAATCGATTAAAACCACAAAATAATTTATTAGTTGGAATCAAATAAACCCATGAATCAATTGATTAAAATGGATAGAAAGCTCTATATAATAGTCTTATCTATTTTATTTCAAATTCAACAATTTTATTAATAATTCAAGCGATCTTTAAGAGAAAAGCTGTGCGAAATTCTCACAAACATTTTTCAAAAAGTTCTTAAGGCATTCAAATTGAACCTCTACACTTAAGTTATATCAAGTTTCGTATCTTTTCAGGTGACATTATTTTAGTTTCCTTGTTTTACTTTTGTTCTTGAGGGTACCTTGTAGAAAGTATAGGTGTTTGGTGACTAGTTTTAAGTCACTAGTGTAATCAAGAGATGTTTTTGAAAGTTCAAGAATCTCTTGTAGTAGATAGGTTGTTTTTATTGGTGTTTGTAACTTGAATTCTGGTTGTAGTGTTTACCTTGACCGACTTTGGCTAAGGACTGGATTTAGCTTAAGAAATTGGATAAACTAGTATAAATTCTTGTGTCTCGTTTTTCTTTCTCTCTCAGTACAATTATATCTTGTATATTTCTTTATATTTAAATATTAATATCAATAATTCTTGAAGTTTGTTCTAACTTTAAGAATTAGGTTTTCAAAAAGAATTTAGAAAAATTTCAAGATTCAATTCACCTCCCCGTTTTGATCTTGACCATTGTTTCTAACATAAAACACATATCAAAATCCTGTTAGTTTTTCCTCGTTTAATCAATTGTATATATATTTTATCTATTTCTTTCGTAGAGGACCCAAGAGCTCAATTATTAGGTAAGACACATTTGATTTTTGTTTATCTTTGAAAAGTATTGATTTCTCTAGTTGTTTAATCCATGATTTACTTTTTGTAGAGATTATAGGACCCAAATTTGACTACAAGAAGACTCATATCAAGCTTGGTGGTTGTTCAATTGTAGTGGGTGATAACCGTGCTCTTAAGAGGTTGAAAGTTTTGAGTATAGATTGATCCATCCCCTTGAAGTTCAACAATAATGATCCCTTCAACAATAACCATTACTCTTTAAGTTTTCCTTTCTAGGGATGGCTAATGCATCCCCTATTCTAGCCATTTGTTTTGTTGACCTTTGAAAAATATCAATTATAGTTTAGGCCAAAGGGTTTAGGATTGTTGTCATTTGTTGTGATAACAAATTTAACATCTCATGATTACTATCATCAATTTGTTGTTGTATCACATTTTAAAAACAATTCAATATTCTAGTACTTATATTTTCAAAATCAAGATTATTTTAACCAACTTCTATATCAACCCGAATCGAATTTTATTTTGGTTTCGATCATTCATCCTGCTAGAATTAAAAGTTGGTTGCCCATGAGGCATACTTAAGAATATCTCTTGACTACTGGTAGGCCTTGATTATTTCACTATATAGATGCACTAGCCATATTCACATTATTACCTCCAAAATTTGTGAAAGGTCTATTTTTCATTCTCGTGTTTATATGGGGTCCCACGTAAGTAGTTACTGGATTACTAATTGTTTGCATTATCGACATCCCTTGACTACCTTGAATGTTTAGGATATTTTGTTCGGTCATGTTCCTCTAATTATCACTTGCTTTATTACCCACCATATTCTTCGTGCCCACATTTTGTCCTCCATTATTTTGATTCATATTATTACGTGTTGTACTGGATTCTAATATAGAACCAAGTGTAAAACTTTTTGTACCTTGACTCGACATGACAATCCTACCGCTTTATACACTCTAAAAAATTAGTTAATTCTTATTAAGAGTACATAGTAATTTTGGATTCTACCAACTATCATAGTAAGACACAAAGCTGAAATCAATTTGCTTCCATTTTTCAGCTTTATCAAGTGGTATAGAATTCTCATCTTTTTCATGATCACCTTTGCTTCCATTTTTCAGCCTTATCAAGTGGTACCGAATTCTCATCTTTTTCATGGTGATCATGAACACCTTGGCCAAGAAACCACGTCTCATAAGAGATACGTTTTCCTATTCAATTTTTCAAATGTAATGGAATGAGTCCCAAAGAAGGACACAATAGGTCCAAAGGACATTTTGTTTTACACAATTGAGATCGAGAAAATCTTCAAATGGAGGAAGTCTGACACAGGTTCCAACAGAGGTAAGACCCAAAAGAGACCTTCAACCTTGTTGGAAAAGAGAATCCAAAGCTAAATGAGGACCAAGGAGGTCCAACGACACCTACTGATGACGCACGAAGAGGTTTCAATGAATGGAGGATGGTGCATGGGCCACACACGCAAAGAAGACATGCAAAGAGAAGACATGAGTAGAGGTGTGTGGCTGAGAATCTTCGTTCGAGATCATCGAGAAGACAATCCAAATCTGAAGGTCACCAGAGAAAACTAAACCAATAGTCAAAGTACGAATGGTGACCGGAAAAAATGACAACAACGAATTTTTCATGGAGACTATAGACCAACAAAGTAGGATTAACTCATTTGATACCAACTTAAAAGTAAAAAAAGAAGAAAAATATATATTTTAAGAACTTAATCACATCTGCTTCTTTATTTATAATAATAAACTATAAATATAATGACTATATGAAAAGTCAAAGAAAACTAAAAGCTTAAGTCCAGATATAAATACAACTCTTAGGTTAATAATTCCAACCTAGTAATATAACGAAATACTGGTCACGGTTGAAGTTGCTGAACTTGTTAGATCCGAGCTCCTTGAAGGATGGAAAATACAACACTATCATGTGAGATGCACATGACAATTGGGTTGTAGTAGCATGGTCCCTTCGGTATCCTATAGTAATGATAATAGATAAAAGATAAGATCGAAATACAGAATAAAGTACGGTCTATTGCTGGTAACCCCACTCAGACTAACAATGATCCCCTCACCCATGAACTGTGATCCAATTCGTACATAAGAAAAGTCCAAATAATAATTCTAGAACAAAACTGTACCGTCATATTACTAGGATTCAGAATAAAATACTATATCTTTAAAGCTATTCCGGAATAATTGCATCGTTTTAAGTACAGGGAAATACATGACATGTAAAATGTATAACAAATTCAGTTATGCTACAAACCAAAAAGAATTAATACAACAATCCAAACACCTGCATCATTCCTCTTTTGGAATAGATCAGTGCAGAAATAAATAAAGGTTACAATAAAAGGCCTCAATTCTCGTGAATCGGTAAATATCAACAACCAAGCTAAATTTATATCCAAGCCAATGCCAAAAATTTTAGATCCTTTTAGTACAGCTTCTCTAACTAGAGAAGCCGAAGATGTGCCGTATCATTCATCCTTTTTATCTGCCAACCAGTTCTCAGAGAATGCTGCAACACAGTTACCGATGAGTCTTCTATGCAAAACTTATGTGACATCAGAGGGCCACATCCAAGAAGGCCAGTCAGGAGACACTTAATTGGCACAGAATGACTAAACAGTCCTATACAAGACATAGTAGGTGAAAAGCTGCTGAAGCCAGAATTATGCAGGGAACTTTGGTGGTTTACATTGCCAGACGAAATTTCGTCTTCAATTACATCACCAGTGGTTGTCACAAATTGTAGCCTGCTCTTGCCAGACTTTTTCCTAGAGAATGCAGGCCGATGCCTGTTGAGCAAATCCCATTGGTTTGTAGGGAGAGAAGGTCCATCTTGGTCGTGAATTGAGTTTGTCAGATGAGCATGGGAGTTGTGCTGTGCAAATGCATTATTGTCATTTGGATGTGATGATAAATCTAATCTCAATTTTTCATGTAATCCCAGGACTGTTCCATTTAAGAAGTTAATCATCCGGAATTCTACTTGTCTAAGTGATTCACCAGAAGGTGCAGTAAAATCTGGCTGAAACCTTTCAATTAAGGCCTGAACGTCAGGGGTATATATTTCTGATCGCAGGCAGCCTTCCCAATTCCCTTGACTAATCTCTCCAAGAGCATCCGAGGATTGAATTTGTTCCTCTGAAAAATTGACTTCCTGTCAATTGGAACCTTAAGTGTAAGATTTCAAGCACAATATTCTGGAATGTAGCAAGTCCTTTTCTCATTGGCAGTGATGCAACAATGAACCATCAGAAGTGAAATTTCTGAAGACACATGAAATTCAACGTAAAATAATCATGCTACTACTACAGATTCAAGTACACTAATTTCTGGAGTTTATTTTGTTCATGCCTTCCAACCATTGAATACCCTCAACCACATCTCTCTGAGCAAGAATATTTAGTGTCTAGCATAAAAAATCATAGTAATAATTGCATTTTTTATGGTTTCCACCTTTTCCATCTTGCTTTGATGAAAAGGAAAAATTTCTGTAACTTTTATTCACACAAATCACCATCCAACACAAGCAAAAAGTATTAGTCAGTTCAGGTAGCTTTGGGTTTTCTCCCCTCACTCCCCCCTCCACAGTTTCAGAGATAGATATTTAATCTGGCACTCATTCATCTAATATCAATCTTTAGATCAACATCCATGTTTTTAGCAAATTGCAAGTGAAAATAGTGGACACTGGTCCTTCAGAGATATGCACATCACATTGGTCTTCCATTTATCTTCAACAACCCTCAATGATGATTAATGCCATAAATTTTATTCTCTGACGAAAAAATTGATGGCAAGAAAACGACAATACAGGTCCAAATTAATGTGAAATATATCTTGAAAGCCTATTTGGTGCATGTATGAAAGGAGGACCAATATGATGACACATATATCCTTGAAGGATCAAAACAGATATTTACTTGTTTAAAAATGGACTACCGGTTTATAGGGTGTGTGGAATCTTTAAAAAACCTTATATCTTGGTATGAGGTGGCTGGTTTATTATACAAAAAGTGTTTGGCTTTAGCACAAATTTATCCAAACCTTTTTCCTTTCCATCGTCTCTTCTCCAGCTAGATTTAAAGGCTGTTCTGGGATGAGATAAAATTGCAGGAACCACCCTATCCCCCCAAGAGTCAATATAAGCTGACAACCACAAAAATTTACATTTTTATATAGAAATTCAATATTAGAAACAGTTTTGGAGTAATAATGAATTAAACTAACACTCAACCTTGACCTGTGATTTGTTTTATATGCACTTATATAGGTGGTTTTCTTTTATACCATTTAAACCTAGTTATCAAAGTTCCCACCTTAATATTTTATCTCGTTTGATAAAAGTGAATTTCACAAGTATCTACCAGCATTAGCAGCCAACTGTTCCTCTAAACTTCCCAACTTAGGTAAAAGTATTATTACTAAATATTTATACAGTAAGCTAAAATCCGGACAATAATACAAGCTACCGTACTTTCTTCCATGTATTTTATCTCAGATTTAGCCTATGACATCATCAACTAATTTCAAAGTTGAACAATAATTTAGATCAACAAATTTTGTTAAAAAAAGAATTAGAAAAAAATTGAACACCGAAAATGCCAATCTTCTATAGAGCTTCTTCCAATTTTAGTTGTCTACTGTTCTGTATAATTAAGTCATAGAGATTCCAAATCAGTAACAGACATGAATTTTATACCAAATTTCATGTTCAAAGGGAAACAATTTGAAGTTAATATCAATTCTCTAAATATATGTAGAGAAAACCAACTTAAGCCATGATCAGAGGATTATTCCATTTCCCCGTAATCTTAAAAGTAGCAGGGCTCCACAGAACATACTAACCTTAACAACAATCTTAAAAAACACGGTATATTGAAATGTAACACATCTATCAGAGATATAAATTCAGTATAAGGATGTCCTAAGAAAGTCAAATATATTTAACAACAAGCAAGCAAACTCAATGAAGCTACCAACATCTATACTAAGTCAACAAATTAGATTGACCATTTCCAATTCAACCATACTTATGTTTATAAATCCAAACCCATGTCTATATCCTCAGCTTTCACATTTACAATCACCCATTAAGAGAGCTCACGATCATGCACAAGCTATTTACACTCCTACAATCAAAGAGTAGACTTCAATTGCTTCAATTCAACACATCTATCGAACAAAATATAGAAAACAGACCAAAACACTACACATACATTACATTACACAACACACATACAATACAATGTACGCACAAAAAACAGCAATAAAGCCTTATCCCTGCAAGGTCAGCCACATGAATCCCACCATAGAAGCCCGGTTATGATACAGTATACATAACCAGTAGAATCAACATCCAACGCAATCTCATATCAAAAGAAACAATGATCTAAAAGCAAACATGAGTCAGTATTATTGTAGACAAAATAAAATGTTTTAGTATGTCTAATTACTGGGATATTCTCATCTATCTTTCTACAAAAGCTTGAAAACCATAAAATGCAGTTCGAAGCGTTCAAAATTCATGGCCTGAACACATGTTAGACACACATACATAAACACTAGTAGTATTTCAACGGTAAGTTTTATTGTAGACAAAATAAAATGTTTTTGTATGTCTAATTACTGGGATATTCTCATCTATCTTTCTACAAAAGCTTAAAAACCATAAAATGCAGTTCGAAGCATTAAAAATCCATGGCCTGAACACAAGTTAGACACACATACATAAACACTAGTAATATTTCAACTTGTAAGTGATCCTTGCACTTGCACACAATCAAGCACGCTCAAACTAAATATTCTTATTAGTCTCTATCTACAAAAGCTTAAAAATCATAAAATGCTGTTAGAACCATTCAAAATAAGCGCAAATAACGCATAAGGAACATTCAAAATGTAACTGATCCCTGCACTAGCACAAAATTGAGCACATTCAAACTGAGTAAAGTACCTTACACACTGACACCGCCGTGGAACGCGCCCGATCCAGCGGGGACGAATACACGGCGCTAAACCGGACCCCCTGTGACTTGAGGAACACGGCCAGAGCCCTAGCCTGGCGCATCCCGTTCGCAGTGAGCGCAGCGGCAGGGCAGCGGCCGCCTACCAAATCCGGCGTCAAATTTAACTCGCACTCACCGTGGCTGATCAGGAAAACCTCAGTCACTGCATCATCATCCGACACCATCCCGTTCGCGGAGAAGCTCCGCGAGAGCGCAGGTGGCGACGGCAGCTGCGGCGGCGGCCCGAGGACGTTGTAGGGGTCCCAGACCTTGATCGAGGGGCCGAGGCGCGGAGTCCCGAGCGAAGAGAGCTGCGGTGAGAGCGGCGACGCGGAGGCGTGGCACGGCAGCATCTCCGGCTCCTGTTCGAGAACCTTCTTCACCATGTGGTTCCCCAATTGGGCCCGGCCCAACAAGGGCCCGTTCAGGTTCCTCTCATCTTCATCCTCCTCTTGTTCTTCTTCCTCTTCTTCACTCTCTTCCACCACTTGCAGTGACTGGTTCACGCCCATTTCGAGTGGGTTCGTGAAACGGCGTCGGATCGTGCGAGATAAGGTGTTTTACCGCTCGGATTTGAAGCGCATCAGTGGTGAGGGGTAAAAATGGAAATCAGTTGAGAATAGCGAATGAATGGAAATGAAGAGATGTAGATCTCGCTGAGTGTGGTTTTGTCGATCTTCTTTGGATGTGGGTTTTCATGGTTTAATGGTTCTTCTGAGCTTAAGTCTACCGTATCATATATATTGTGTGAATATGTACAGACGAAGCCAAAGGAAGACACGGACTACGCATTAAATTTTGTCTTACCTACTTACTCTTTTTACTGCCCTGCACTCTATATGTTTTATTATATGATGATTCAAAAGAAATTATTTATATCTTTATTTATCCTTTCAACTGTCTAAGAAAATGTTTATTAGAATGTTTTTAATTGAAATTTTACAATAAAACATATTTCTAAGTTTTTTTTTCCTAAAAAGCGTTGTATATCTTGAGTATTCTGCAATTATATAAATGTATCATTGCTATGTATAGAGATAACTTTCGTTAATAAATTTAGATTAATATATAATTTTAATCCTTATAAAATTATAAATATTTAGTATTTTTTTAGATTTCTAAATTATAATGTTATGATTATTGATGAAGTTATGACAATTTGTTTTATTTTTTATTTATTTTGAATTTAATTAAGATATGAATATTACTCTTATTCCAAAACTCATAATTAAGTTAAAATTCATAAATTGAGATGTAATTTTGACACCAAAATATTGAAAGAGATATATAAAATTGAAATTATGAACTAAAATAATATGACAAAATGATTTTATGTTTGTAAAAAATAACTTGGAATCCCTCTAAGAATTAAATAATTATTTATAAGATGAAATGGTTTAAGAAAAAATTTTAACAAAAACATTTTTTTTATTTCAAATGATATTTAAAACACTCCAATTTTATTCATTCCCTCGTACTTCAAAGTAAAGCAAAAGAAAAATATAAACTTAGCATAACAAGTATTATTAATATGTCTTAGTGGTTATCAAGGTTTAGTTAAACTTGAAGTTAGAGATTCAAATCTTAGTAATCATGCCTCTTTTACAAAAAAAATAATATAATTCAACTTCAGAAAATATACAAAAATTGGCTAAGTCGTGTGATTAGCCTTCTACCTAGTCATTGATCTTCTTAAGTTTTGTATTAGATCTTGGACTTCCACCTAGTCATAGGTCTGAGTTTGTTAGTTGTCTTAGTATTAGGCTTGATTTTTAATTTTCGTATCATTCTCTCCTTGAAATCATTTGTCATCTTATTTAATATGTCGTCACCTACATCAAAATGAGATAGATCAATCAAATTAAAAGTATTACTTATTTTACTCACTAGACAAATCAATTTTGTAGGCATTATCATTTATCTTGGCCAATACTTGAAAAGAGTAATCTTCTCTTAGCATAAGCTTTGACTTCCTTTGTGAAGGGAATCCCTCTTTCATGCAATGCACCCATACCTAGTCACTTGGTTCAAATGTTACCTTTGTTCTTCCTTTATTGGCATATTTTGTAAAACCTTCCATTTTCTTCTCAATTTGAGGCTTGAATTTCTCATGCAACTTCTTGACATAAGTTGCTTTAATTTTCCCAAACTAATCTTTAAATTCAGAAAGGATTAAAATCATAAACTACTTCAAAGGGTGACAATTGAGTTGTACTATGTATAACCTTATTGGTATGCAAATTCAATATGTGATAACAACTTTTCCCAAGTTCTAAGATTTTTCTTAATGATAGCACTAAAAAGAGTAGAAGAAGTTTTATTTACCACTTTAGTTTGTCCATCAATTTGGGAATGATAAGATGTTGAAAATAACAATTTATTACAATTCTTACCCCATAAAATTTGCCAAAAGTAAATAAGAAATTTAAAATCTTTAGCTTACAAAACTCTTAGGCAACCCATTCAATCTTACCCCCACTTTAAAGAACAGGTCAACAACATGACAATCATTAACTACTTTTCTACAAGATATTAAATGAATCATTTTAGAAAATATATCAATCACCACAAAAATTGAATCCTTTCTTCCTTTGGATCGAGGTAAACCTAAAAAAAAATTCATAAAACTTTCAATCCAAGGATGTTCTAGAATAGATAATGGAGTATAAAATCCATGTGGCATGACCTTAGATTTAGCTTTCTTGCAAATAATTCACTTATCACAAAATGTATACACGCCATGTTTCCTATGAGGTTAGTAAAAATGCTCATGCAAGATGTCATATATCTTTTGCACCCAAAAGTGACCCATTAATCCCCCTTCATGAGCCTTTTTTACAAAAAATTTCCTAATTGAACTCTTAGGAACACAAAGTCTCTTATCCTTAATCAAATATCTATCATGTTTAAAGTACCCCACATATGCAATATGAGAACATGAAAACAACATGTTCATACAATTCCTTAATGAACTCATGATATGAGTGTAGTTTTTAAATCAAACATATAAGGTGTTTGATACAATTAAGATGAGAAAATCCAAGGAAGATTCCCAGTGGACACGAAGATAATCACTTATCTAAGTGTGAATGTGCACTTCCAAGGATTCAAGAGAGGAGAAGAGATGAATAAAGCACAAAAATAACAACAAATAAAGGGCTGGACAAACCCAAACTAATGCAGTAAAATATATAGTAGAAAAGGAAATAATATGGAGAAAAGAAGAAGTGGGGTGAGCAAGGGAAGGTGGCACACCACTTGGGAATGGACAAACTCAAGATGAGTAGTAGTTGTTGCTACTTGAACCAAGGTTCAAGATAAGACTTAGGAGTGTAACTCTCAAATTTTTATTCAATTTCTAACCATTTACAAGAGGTGGAGAGCCTTATATATATAGAGGCATGGGTGAGGGACCTAGAGGGAATTTTATTAGGGATTCTAGAAGCACATGTTGCCCTAATTTTAACCTAGAAGGGTTTGCCCCCTTGCCTTGCCCTCCAAACCCATGGCCTTTCTCATTTAAAAGGTCAATGGTTGACCTTCTCTTCCCCCATGGGTTGTCCATGCTTCAAAGGCCTGGGTCCAAGGCTACTTTCCTCTAAAAAAGGTGGTGAACATTAAAAGAGATGTGTTCTTTTGGAATCCTACAAAAACAAGATTTAAATACGAGTCTAAGAAATTAAAGAAAAGGAAAAATACTAAGTAAATTAAAGGTTAAGGGTGAGAATGAGGTTTCCCTTCTAGTCATGTTTTTAGTGATCCTCCAAAGGATAGTCTCTCCTTTCTCATGGGAACTTATGGACTCATCACCCTCCCCTCCTTGGAGAGAATGCATCCATGAATTTGTATAACATGTATCAAAAGGAATAAGATCACCAATATTAAATGTTATACTAATGTTGTATTCTGCTGGTAAATCTAATTCATATGCATTATTATTTATTTATTTATTGACCACTTGGAAAGGTTTGTCACCCTTAGGATTGAGTTTAGACTTCCTTTGAGTCTGGAATCTCTCATTTCTTAAGTGAAGTCAGTCTCCCGGTTGGAAGAGGACTTCCTTTCTTTACTTGTTAGCTAGTTTTTTATAGTGGCCTATTTTCCTCCCTATGTTAGCTTTTACTTAGGCATGCAAGTCCTTAATTAACTTAGACCTTTCTAAATCATCTTGGCTACTTCAAACATCATGAGTGGGTAAAGGAAGAAGATCCAAAGGGTTGAACCCATACACAACATTAAATGGGGAGTGGGATGTACTGAAATATACCACTCGTTTATATGCAAACTCTACATCTGGAATGATGCTCTCCCACTCCCTAGGGTTCCTAGAAATCATGCATCTCAATAGTTGAAACAAGGTCTTATTAACCACTTTTGTCTTACCATCTAGCCAAGGGTGGCAAGTTATGGAAAAGAGTAATTTTATGTTAAGTTTTTCTTAGAGAGTACTCCAGAAATGACTTTAGAACTTTGTATCCCTATCACATACAGTGGTCCTAGGGATCTCATGCATTCTAACTACTTCCTTGAAGAAGAGATTGGAAATTAGGCACACATCATTCATCTTGTGGAAGGGAATAAAATGGACCATTTTTGAAAATTGGTCCACTACCACAAAGATAAAATTCATTCCTCGCTTTGTCCTTAGAAGTCTAAGTACAAAACCTATGAATATGTCTATTCAAGGCAAAGTAAGATGGGAAGAGGAGTATAGAGTCCATGGGGTTGGGCTTTAGACGTGGTCTTTTTTCATGCTATGCAATTTTCACAAAACTTTTCTACATGTTTTCTTATATGAGGCCAGTAAAAATACTCACTCAAAATCTCTAGAGTCTTAGATGCTCCAAAATGTCTCATTATACCTCCCTCACGAGACTCCCGAATTAGTGATACCCTTAAGGATCCCTAGAGAGCACATATCCTTTTCCCTTTGAAAAGAGAGTCATTGTGAATATAAAAGTCTGTGTTGCCCCCTTTTAAGCATTGACCATGAATTTTAGAAAATTCATCATCTTTGATGTAAAGATCCCGAATATGATCAAAGCTTAAAAATTTTGTTTCAAGAAGAGTCAATAAAGTGTGTCTCCTGAATAGAGCATCGACCATTATGTTACTCTTTCCCTATTTATGTTTGATCACATAGGAAAATTGTTCAATAAACTCTACCCACCTAGCATGTCTCTTGCTAAACTTGCTTTGGCCTTTCAAAAATTTAAGGGATTATGATCACTATGGACCACAAACTCCTTTGGAAGAAGATACTGTTGGAATGCCCTCACAAGTGTATACAACTCTTTGTCATTGGTGGAGTAGTTGAGATTACTCCCTTTCAACTTCTCATTGAAGTAGGTTATGGGTGGCTTTCTTGAAGCAAGACTGCCTCAATGTTCACATTTGAAGTATCACACTCAACCTCAAAAATACTTGGTGAAGTTAGGGAGGGCTTGAAATGGTGCATTGATCCATTTTTCCTTAACTATTTCAAAAGTCGTTTGTTGATCCTTGCCTCAGT